AGACTTCCTCACATTTGATTCAGGAACCGCGCTCTCGCTGGATATTTTCTTACAATGTATTCCGGAATCGCTCTCCTGGCGCTCTGGAGTCGCGCTCTCGCTGGAGATTTGCTTGCAATTTACTGAAGGATAGCGCCCTTGCGTTGGATTTTTGTGCGATTCACTCAAGCGTCGCGCTCCCGACACCCAGGCACCCAGGAGTCGCGCTCACGCTTAGGACTCCCTCACAAATTACCTAGGAATCGGGATCTCGCTGCCCTTCGTGGCCCCGTTGCAGTCCTTCGTGCCCCCTCCCGCTTTGTTTCGTAGCCCCGTTGCAGCGCTTCGTGGCCCCCTCGCTGCCCTTCGTGGCCCCGTTGCAGCCCCTCGTGGCCTCCTCGTTGCCCTTCGCGGCCCCGTTGCAGCCCTTCGTGGCCCCCTCGCTTTGTTCCGTGGCCCCGTTGCAGCCTTTCGTGGCGTCCTCGCTGCCCTTCGTGGGCCCGTCGCAGCCTTCGTGGCCCCGTTGCAGCCCTTCGTGGCCCCCTCGGTGGCCTTGTTTGGGCCCCGTTGCAGCCCTTCGTGGCCCCCTCGCTGCCCTTCGTGGCCCCCCCCTATATATATATATATATATATATATATATATATATATATCGTGGCCCCCGCTCGTCGTCGCGCCCGTGGTGGCTCCATATGCATGCCCTTCGTGGCCCCGCTGTCGCCCTTCCTGGCCCTTTCGCTGCCCTTCGTGGCCCCGTTGCTGCCCTCAGTGGCCCCGTCCTCGCCCTCCGCGGCCCAGTATACGTATGCCCTTCGTGGCCCCCGCTCGTTCGCGCTCTTCGTGGCCCCATGTGCATGCCCTTCGTGACCCGGTTGTCGCCGTTTGTGGCCCCCTCATTGTCCCACGTGGCCCAGTGGCTACCCTCAGTGGCCCCATCGTTGCCTCCTGTGGCCCCGCATTGTCTGCCCTTCGTGGCCTCCGCTCGCTCGCGCTTTTCATGGCCCCATACGCATTCCCTTCGTGATCCCGCTGTCGCCCTTCGTGGCCTACTTCGTGTCCTTGTGGCCCTGCTGTCGTTCTCTCTCGCTCTCGCTTTCGTTCGTCGTCGCCGTCGTCGACGTCGACGTCGTCGTCGTCGTCTTTGTCGTCGTCGTGGTCGGTCCCCTTTCCGTGCCTCTTTGGGTCGGGACAACGGTCCGCGGCTGCCCCGCCGATCAGCGCTGCCGCTGGCCAGGCCGACGGTCCGCGGCCGCCCCGCCGCTTGCCGGGGCCCGGCTTGCGGGGAAGAAATGTATACCCCCCAAAAAAAGTTCGATCGAAAACGAAGAGGCCGGGCATCGAGGGTTAGGGAAATACGCGTTATTGGACACTCGAGCAGATAAGGAAAAACAGTCTTAAAAGTATTTAATCGCTTCGCTCATTCCGCCGGCCCTGGAGCGTTATTTGGGGCCCCTTGCGTCTTGGGGCTCCTTGGCGGCGTCTTGGGCTCCCCTGGGGCCTCTTAGGGGGCTCTTGGGGGCCCCTTGGGGCGGGAGGGGGGTAGTCGATTGCAGCCACCCCCTCGGAGGCCACGATCCTCGTGAGAGGTGGCGAAAAATAGCCCCCCCCTCTGGGGATCGCCCGGGACCTGGCCGGGACCTGGCCGGGGGTCAGCCAGGGTACTTTTCGTCCGGGGGCCCCCAGGGGCCGCCCCCCGCGCGCGCGAACTAGAAATAGTTACCGGAGATCTTAGCACGCCTCTGGCCCATTGGGCCGGCGAATTGTTGTAGTTGTTGTTGTTGTTGTTGTTGAACATTATTAATTCTAAAGAATAATTATTGTTGGGGCCCCTGGTGCACGGCCCCCCTGCGCCGCCTAGGCCGCAGCTACATTTTCATCATTTTCGTGAGGAAGCCTCAGGTAATACGATGTCATCAAGATCCGGTTGTTTTGTTGTAATCCGTTTTCCCTTGCAAAAAACACTATAAAATGACATTTCTTGTTCTAATATAATCAAATTTCAAGAATCCCTTGCAAAAAATAAGGTAAAGTGGACATTCGCGCGCGCAAGACGAAATCCTTCCAAAAGCTTAGTGTTCGGAGCGATTTTAACATAAAAACATCAAAAAACCAATGGTTTTTCAACAAAAAAATGTCAAAATCTCATCCCGCGCGCTCTTGCGGATTCGTAGGAAACCCAACACTTTTTAAACATTTCTGTCAAACGGGCTTTTGCGAGCAACTTTTTCGAACTTCTGCGACAACGGTTGCGCACCTGCCAGGGCCATCATCCCTGTCAAATAATACCATGCGGGACACATTCGTTTTTTCTTCGCGCGCGCACGCCGTCGTCGTCGGCCGCGGGGCCCTGAATAGTAGCCACGGTCGTCCGCATGCCACGAAGTGAAGTGTCCGAACGTCATAGGGCGGGAAGCTGGGTGTGGGTGGTGGCGAAGAGTCGTTTGGAAATTTGGTAGAGCTTGAACCGGCCCCCCCACAAAGTGGGGGTATTGCCCGCCTCCTATGAAAACCCTGGCACTGGTGAGAACGGAGTGTCCCCACGTGCTAGTAATGTTGTTGTTGTTGTTGAACATTATTAATTCTAAAGAATAATTATTGTTGGGACCCCTGGTGCACGGCCCCCCTGCGCCGCCTAGGCCGCAGCTACATTTTCATCATTTTCGTGAGGAAGCCTCAGGTAATTCGATGTGATCAAGATCCGGTTGTTTTGTTGTAATCCGCTTTCCCTTGCAAAAAACACTATAAAATGACATTTCTTGTTCTAATATAATCAAATTTCAAGAATCCCTTGCAAAAAATAAGGTAAAGTGGACATTCGCGCGCGCAAGACGAAATCCTTCCAAAAGCTTAGTGTTCGGAGCGATTTTAACATAAAAACATCAAAAAACCAATGGTTTTTCAACAAAAAAATGTCAAAATCTCATCCCGCGCGCTCTTGCGGATTCGTAGGAAACCCAACACTTTTTAAACATTTCTGTCAAACGGGCTTTTGCGAGCAACTTTTTCGAACTTCTGCGACAACGGTTGCGCACCTGCCAGGGCCATCATCCCTGTCAAATAATACCATGCGGGACACATTCGTTTTTTCTTCGCGCGCGCACGCCGTCGTCGTCGGCCGCGGGGCCCTGAATAGTAGCCACGGTCGTCCGCATGCCACGAAGTGAAGTGTCCGAACGTCATAGGGCGGGAAGCTGGGTGTGGGTGGTGGCGAAGAGTCGTTTGGAAATTTGGTAGAGCTTGAACCGGCCCCCCCACAAAGTGGGGGTATTGCCCGCCTCCTATGAAAACCCTGGCACTGGTGAGAACGGAGTGTCCCCAGTCTTAAATGATTGTTGTTGTTGTTGTTGTTGTTGTTGTTGTTGTTGGTGTTGTTGTTGTTGTTGTTGTTGTTGTCGTCGTCCCACCCGCGACCCACCCGCGACCCACCCCGCGACCCACCCCGCGACCCACCCCGCGACCCACCCCGCGACCCACCCGCGACCCAATTTGCGACCCACCCGCGACCCACCCCGCGACCCACCCGCGACCCACCCGCGAGCCACCCGCGACCCAGCCGCGACCCAACAGCGACCCACCCGCGACCCAACAGCGACCCACCCGCGACCCAGCCAAGACCCATTTGCGACCCACCCCCGACCCACCCGCGACCTACCCACATTGGTTTAACGAACAAAGTCGGCGCCAGCTGCGGGCTTCTCCAGAGTTTCGCAGACTGCCGACGTCCCCACCGCCCCTTCACTCTTATCCGCATCTGCGGGGTGCTACGTTTTTTTTTTTTTTTTTTGTGTGTGTGTGTGTGTGTGTGTGCCTGGGCCCCTTCATCCTCTTCGGGCGGATGGGGGTTGAAGAAAAGGGCCCTGAAGGTGCCCTTGAGGGCCCAGTTTGGAGCCAGGGGTCCCCTAGAGGGCCCCTTCGCCCCCCATCTGGGTCACCCCCCAGTGCCACCTGCCCGAGAGGAATGGAGGTGAAAGAAGAGGCTCGGCAGAGGGCCTTCTTGTCCAGGCCAGCAGGGGCTCTAAAAGGAACCTAAAGAGGCCCTAGAGCCCCTTTTGGGGCCAGCAGGGGCCCAACAAGGGACCCTGAAAGGCCCCTTGAGGGTCAGTTTCGTCACACCCCCATGTAGGTCACCTCCCATTCCACCACCCACCAACCAGCCCCAACTCAACCCGAAGGCCTTTCTTTCCCCTCCACTTCCAGGGGGGGGGGGGTCGGGGAGCATGGAGCAAAAACGCATGAAGCCCGTGCCCCCTCCCAACACGGCACTCGGGTCTTCGGGCTGGGCTGCGGTGCCCTGGCAGGTCGTCACCACGAGCACCCGCCCGAGCCTCCGCCCCCCCTGCCTGCCTTGCCGTGCGCTTCCGCGGCGGCGGCTCCAGGAGGTGCGACGGCACGGCCCGCGCCCGCCTCCTCCTCCTTCTCCTCTCCTCCTCCTTCCTCCTCCTCCCCTCTCCCTCCTCCTCCTCCTCCTCCTCCTCCCTCCACCTCATCCCCCCTCCCTCTCCCCCCTTCCCCTCCTCCTCTACCCCATCCTCTTCCCTCCCCATCCTCTCCTCCTACTTCCTCCTGCTCCTCCTCCTACCCCATCCTCCTCCCCCGCCTCCTCTTCCTCCTCCTCCGCCTCCTCCTTCTGCCTGCCTTGCCATTTGCGCTTTCGCGGCGGCGTCTCCCCAAAAGGGGTGCCGACTGAGAGCACAACCCGCGCACGGGCGGGCCCTTTTCGGCCACCCGTTTCCGGGGGCTCGCGGGCGGCACCGCCGCCGCGGCGGGCGGTCTGCAGTCGAGATGCGGTGGCAGTGACTTTGTCGCTTGAGTTCCCAAACCTGGTTGCCCGAATTCCGCAAAAACAGCTATTCAGAATCCCAGCAACGTGGCTCCTGAATTCAAAGGACTTGGTGTCTTTTTACTGCCAGCAATAGTGGTTTGTCGAATTCCCGAAGGCCTGATTCCTGCCCGGGGCCGCCGCGGCGGTGCCGAAGGCCGCTGTCGCCGAGAGGGCCGCCCAGCCCTGCGCGATGCCCGCCAGGAGAGCATCCGACCGGACGTGATCACGTGCAACGCGGTGGTGTCTGCGTACGGTAAGAGCAAGCAGGCGCCGCGCTCTCCGCGCTCCGACGCGCGCCATCTTCCCCAGCCACCCCCCACTGCTCCCTACTTCCTTTGTCCTCCCTCCTCCCTCCTCCCTCCCCCTTCTCCTTCCCTCCCTCTCCCTCCTTCTCCTTCCTCTTCGCAGGTTGCCACCGGGGTCTTCTAACGACTTCGGAGGGTGCCTTCGCCAGGTGAGCTCACACAACCAGCCACTGGTCACGGCATGGCGCCACTGTTCGACCTGGCAAAGGGGTTCTTTGATTTCTCTCTTTCTATCTTCTTATTTTTCTCACGCACCCTCTCTCTCTCGTTATCATGTTTTCTCACGCTCTCTCTCTCTCTCTCTCCCTTCCTCGTTATTGGTATGGTCATACCTCTGCCTCTCGCACTTAACAACGTGAGCATACTCACCCATAGTTATACATGCTTGTATACATGTTTGTATGAACGTCTGCATGTGTGCATACATACCTGCGTGTATGCACACAGGCATGACTATATGTGCATGTACGTTTGCATGCCTGCCTGCAAGCAGGTATGTATGTATGTAAGCATGTATGTACTGTATGCATGTATGCATGTATACATGTATGCCTTCACGCATATGTAATTATATACGCGTATGTGTTTGTACATAAAGATGCACCTGCTGAATACGAATGTGTTTCCTTCGTTTATGTGTATATGACTTTGTATATGTAGGTACTGTATGCTATTGTTTGTACGGTTCTGCTTACGTGCATACGTGTATATATATATGTATGTGTATATATGTGTACAGGTATGTGTAGTTGCACATGTACGCATACACCTGCATGTTTTTGTATGAATGCATACATGTATGTATGCATGCATGCATGCATGCATGCATGCATGCACGTGTGTGTGTGTGTGTGTGTGTGTGTGTGTGTACTTTTGCATGCATGTGCACGCATATACATACATACACATACATACATGTAGACTGGTATGTCTATGTATCTCTCTCTATATGTGAAAGAGCGTGTTCTACCGCTGCTGGCGGAAAACCGGGGGGGGTCACTACCGGTTCGAACCCCTCCCCCCCCCCCCCCCTCCGGAAAACCGGGGGGGGTCACTACCGGTTCGAACCCCCCCCCCCCCCCCCCCCCTCATCATGAAAAGGGGGGGGGGTCACTACCGGTTCGAACCCCCCCCCCCCCCCCCTCTCCGGATCCGGAAAACCGGGGGGGGTCACTCACTACCGGTTCGAACCCCCCCCCCCTCGAAAACCGAGTGGGGGTGCGGACAGTGGTGGGGACGGTGTTGGTGGGGACAGTGGTGGATAGCGGGACAGTTGGTGGGGACAGTGGTGAGGGGATAGCGGGACAGTGGTGGGGACAGTGGGACAGTGGGACAGTGGTGGGGACGGTAGTGGTGGGGACAGTGGTGGGGACAATGGTGGGAACAGGGGGGGACAGTGGACAGTGGTGGTGACGGTGGTGGTGGGGACAGTGGTGTGGGGACAATGGGAATGAGGTGGAAACAGTGGGACAGTGGAGGGTACAATGGTGGTGGGGACAGTGGTGAAGGCGGTGGCGAGGACGGCGGTGGGACAATGGGACAGAGGTACAGTGGGGACAGTGGTGGGGACAGTGGGGACAGTGGTGGGAACAGTGGGACAGCTCAGTGGGACAGCGGAGGAGTCAGTGGGACAGTGGGGACAGTGGGGATAGTCGGGCAGTGGTTGGGGCCGTGGAGACAGTGGGGAGAGTGGAACCGTGGTGGGAACAGTTCTGGGGACAGCGGGGACAGTGCGACAGTGGTGGGGCCACTGGTGGGGACAGTAGGGGCGGTGGTGGAACCAGTGGGGACAGCGGTGGTGAGGACAGTGGTGCTGGGAACACCAGTGGGGGATGTGATGCGGACGGTGGTGGGGACCGGGAGTCGTTTGCTGGCGGTGAGTAGGGGGGGGGGGGGGGGGGGGGGGGGGGGTTCGAACCGGTAGTGACCCCCCCCGGATCCGGAGGGGGGGGGGGGGGGGGGGGGTGATGGGTTTTCGAGCGGGAGGGGGGGGGGGGGGGGGAGGGGTTTAGGGGGGGAGGGGGGGTTTTGCCGGGGGAACGGGGGGGGGGGGGGGGGGGGGGGAGGGGTTCCAGCAGGGGGGGGGGGATTTTCGGAGGTGGGGGGGGGCGACCCCCGGGTTCCGGAGGAAAAGGTTGGCAATTTTCCACAGTAAAGCGGCGGTGGATCACGCTCTCTCCTATATGTATATGTCATGTTCAATAGATGTGAGGATGGACCCGCGATTCTCCTGTGGGCAGCGAAGGCGGTAGTCACTCGAGGCCCCGCGGCTCCCTGGGTGGCTGCGAACTGCGCAGGCGTCGATACTTTCATGGGCCGCTGGGGAGGTGCAGCGGAGGCGGTAGTAACGCGAGGCCCTCGCTGCTCCCTGGGTGGCTGCGAACTGCGCAATCGTCGCTTCTTTCATGGGCCGCTGGGGAGGTGCAGCGGAGGCGGTAGTAACGCGAGGCCCTCGCGGCTCCCTGGGCGGCTGCGAACTGCGCAAGCGTCGCCTCTTTCGTGGGGTCCTGGGGAGGTGCAGCATCGGCGGCAGCCACACGAGGCCTCGCGGCCCTCTCTCTGGGGAGGCGGAGCGGAGGCGGTAGTCACGCGAGACTTCGCGGGTCCCTGGGGGGGCTGCGTGTTGCACAAGCGTTGCCACTTTCGTTGGCTCCTGGGAGGTGCAACGGAGGCAGTAGTCACGCGAGACCTCGCGGCTCCCTGGGTGGCTGCGAACTGCGCAATCGTCGCCACTGTCTTGGGCTTTTGGGAGGTGTAGCGGAGGCGGTAGTCACGCGACACCTCGCGGCTCCTTGGGAGCCTGCGAATTGCGCAAGCGTCGCCACTTTAATGGGCTCCTGGGAGGTGCAGCGGAGGCGATAGTCACGCGAGACCTCGCTGCTCTCTGGGTGGCTGCGAACTGTGCAAGTGTCGCCTCTTTCGTAGGCTCCTGGGAGGTGCAACGGAGGCAGTAGGCACGCGAGACCTCGCGACTCCCTGGGGTTCTACGAATTGTGCAATCGTCGCCACTTTCGTTGGTTCTGGGGGAAGCTCAGCGGAGGCAGTAGTCATGCGAGACCTCGCGGCTCCCTGGGTGGTTGCGACTTGCGCAATCGTCACCATTTTCGCTGGCGACTGGGGAGGTGCAGCGGCCTCGCGGGTCCCCGGGGGGCTGCGATCTGCGCAATCGTCGCCTCTTTCGAGGGCTCCTGGGAGGTGCAGCGGAGGCGATAGTCACGCGAGACCTCGCGGCTCCCTGGTTGGCTGCGAACTGCGCAATCGTCGCCACTGTCCTGGGCTTCTGGGAGGTGTAGCGGAGGCGGTAGTCACGCGACACCTCGCGGCTCCTTGGGAGCCTGCGAATTGCGCAAGCGTCGCCACTTTAATGGGCTCCTGGGAGGTGCAGCGGAGGCTGTAGTCACGCGAGACCTCGCGGCTCCCTGGGTGGCTGCGATTTGCGCAAACGTCGCCCCTGTCCTGGGCTATTGGGGAGGTGAAGCAGAGGCGGTAGTCACGCGAGACCTCGGGGCTCCCAGGGGGGCTGCGATCTGCGCAAGCGTCGCCATTTTCGTGGGCTCCTCGGAGGTGCAGCGGAGGCGGCAGTTACGCGAAACCTCTAGCCACGCAGATCCAAGCATTTATTTACATAGCGGCCCCGCGTAGAGAAGGGATTGGGTACGTCTCGGGTAATTTTTTGTCCCCCCCTAACCCCCTTGTCTGGCTTCTCGTTTCTCGTTCTGAGTGAAGCACTGTTTGCGCGAGACCTCCTCCCGCCTTTTTCCTCCTGCCTCTCCTCCTCCTCCTCCTCCTCCTCCTCCTCCTCCTCCTCCTCCTCCTCCTCTTCCTCCTCCTGCATCTTCGTGCCTCCTTTGGCGTTTTCTTCAACTCTCCTGTGCTGGGTTCTCGATGTACGTTGCACTGTGGTCTTCGTCCTCCTGCTTTGTTCCCACTCCTGGTGTGTTGGACTTTCGTTTTATGAATAAGGCGCTCTGGTCTCCCCCCTCCTCGTCCTTTTCCTCGCTGTCCTCCTCCTCCTCGTCCTCCTCATCGTCCTCCTCCCCGGCTTCCTCTTCATCCTCGTCCTCCTCCTCGTCCTCCTCCTTCTCCTCCTCGCCCTCCTCCACCCGCCCCCTCACCCCTCCTCGTCCTCCTCCTCGGGGGCGAGCCAGCAGCGGCACCGCCGACCCGCCTACGCAGCCCGCGGCACCGCCGCGCGGAGTTGCCGCGCGGAGCGGCACGGCGCCTCTCGGCGGCCCCGTGGCGCTCGACCTGCGCTGCCGCGGCGGCAGCGGCGGCGGCGGCGGCCGCGCGGGCGCAGCCCGAGGCGGCGGCGCATGCGGCGCTGCCGCTGCCGCCGGTGCCGGCGGGCTCCTCGGGTGCCGCTGGCGCGGCTGGGTGTCTTTCTGGCCTCCTCCTCCTCCTCCTGCTCCTTCTCCTCCTCCTCCTCCTCCTCCTCCTCCTCCTCCTCTCCTCTCCCTCCCCTCTCCCTCTCCCCCTCCCCCTCCTGCTCCTCCTCCTCCTCCTCCTCCTCCTCCATTCTTTTCCTTATGAAGCATTTCTCCCTGTCGCACCCTGAGGCCAGTTTTTAGGGCGGGCCGGGCGTTTCGCCTGAGACTTCCTGCCCATTTATGACCCTGAAGCTTCAAGCATTACAACAGTTTCACAGATGGAGGGCGAGCGGTTTTCAACATGTGGTTCTCGCCTTAGCGCCGCGCACATTCGGTTTGAACATGTGCAAGAGCTTCACGGATTGAGAGCGGGTGGTTTTCAAAATGTGGGTCTCGCCATGGCGCAGCGCATATTGTTTGAACATTTGCAAGAGCTTCACGGATTGATGGTTCCTTTTCAAAATGTAGTTGCCGAAGTCGCGCCGCGCACATTCGTTTTAAAGTTTTAATCACTTTAAACGTTTCACGGGTTACGATGATCAAAATACCAGAAACTGCGTTTTGGAAGGATTCAGGATTATGAGGGTGCAACAATTACGTTCGCTCGCGGTGCTGAAGTCCCAAGCATGGCGAACTTGCACGATTCAAGATCGTCAAGACGCAACAGTCAGGTTGATCCGGTGCGTTGAAATCCCGAAAACAACGTTTCCAACGAGGCAGTTCCCTCAATGGGAATGAACCGTTGTAGGGGCATATGAAGAGGGAGCTTGGAGGGAGGGTTTATTCCAACATCGTTGATGACTCTTCGTTTTCCACAGGTCCTCCTCCGCCTCCTCCGCCTCCTCCTCTTCTTCCTGCTCCTCCGTCTCCTCCTCCGCCTGCTGCTCCTCCTCCTCCTCCTCCTCCTCCTCCTGCTCCTTCTCCTCCCCGTCCTGCTCCTTCTCCTCCTCCTCCTGCTGCTGCTCCTCCCCCTCCTGATCCTCCTTCTTCTCCTCGTTCTCCTCCTCCTCCTCCTCCTCCTCCTTCTCGTCCTCCTAGTAACGTCCTCTTGGGACGACTGCGAGCCGCATCGCGCCGATCTCGTCCGGTGCGCGCCTTAGTCGCCTTGCGGCCCGCGCGGGGATGGGACGGCCTCCACAGGGGTGCGCCTCCTCCTTCTTCTCCTCCTCCTCCTCCTCCTCCTCCTCCTTCTTCTCCTCTCATTGCCTCCTTGCCCTCCTTGCTCGTACCTTTCCTTACTGGGGGGAGGGGGCGTCGAACTGCGCAACTGTCGCGACTGTCGTGGACTCCTGGGAGGTGCAAGGAGTTGTAGACAGACCCAGGTGTCGCCAGTTTCGTGGGCTGCTGGGAGGTCTAGCGGAGTGGAGCTGTACGCGGATCCAGCCGAGACCACGCGGGGCCCCAGGGGGCTACGAATTGCGCAGCCGTCGCCACATTCGTGGGTTCCTGAGGGTCCGGCGGAGTGGGGCTGTACGCGGATCCAGGGGAGACCTCGCGGCTCCTTGGGTGGTGGCGACTTGCGCAAGTGTCGCCACTTTCGTGGGTTCCTGGGAGGTCCAGCGCAGTGGAGTTGCACGCGGATCCAGCCGAGACCTCGCGCTGGTGTGCTGCGGACTGCGCAAGTGTCGCATTGTTCGTGGAGGCCGCGGACCGCCGAATTGTCACTACTTTTGTGGGCTCCTGGGAGGTCCAGCGGAGGCGGTAGTCAGGCAAGACTTCGCGGTTCTTTGGGTGGCTGCGAACTGCGCATTTGACGTTACGCTCGTGTGCTCCTGGGAGGTCGTGCAGCGGAGGGGGTAGTCAGGAGAGACATCGGGGCCCCGTGGTGGCTGCGAACTGCGCAAGTGGTGCCGCCACGCTCGTGGGCTCCTCGGAATTCTAGCAGAGTGGGGTGTCACGCGGATCCAGCCGAGACCTCGCGGCTCCTTGGGTGGCTGCGCATTGCGCAATGGTCGCCGTGTTCGTGGATTCTTGGGAGGTCCAGCGAAGTGAGTTGTTGCGCAGATCCATGCGAGACCTCGCGGTTTCCTGGAGGACTGGCAAAGCAAATGATTCACAGCGGTGGCCCATCGGACCCCCAGAAATAAGAACATTGGTCGTATGTTCCTTCCCTTTCTTGCGCACGCCGTCCAGGTGGCCAGGACTTGTTCCTCTGGAGGAGGAGGAGGAGAAGAAAGAGGAGGAGGAGAAGGAGGATGAGGAGAAGCAGGAGGAGGAGGATGTCCCGTGATCCGTGGAACGTGGAAGCCACCCATGTAGTTGTTTGCGTCTCCTTGCGTGGAGCCATCAGCATTAAGCATTAAGCGTCCAACTGCCATGGGCACTTGTTGCAGATGGGTCGGGTACGTTTCGGGTAATGCCGTTCTCCACGGATGCATCCTGCATCCATGAATGGGTGCTCTTCCTGGTCCTCGTCCTCGTGCTTCTCCTCACCATCTTTCTCCTCGTCTTCATTCTCCTCTGCGCACGCCACCCAGGTCCCTCCTGCCCTTCCCCCCCTCCCCCTCCCCCCATCCCTCCGGTTTCGCCCCCACTCCTTCCCGCCTCCTCCTCGTCATCCCCCTCCTCCTCTCTTCCTCCTCTCCTCCTCCTCCTCCTCCTCCTCCTCCTCCTCCTCCTCCTCCTCCCCGCCCTTCCCCCGTCCCTCCTCCTCCTCCTCCTCCTCCTCCTCCTTCTCCTCCTCCTCCGCCTCCGCTCCGTCGTCGTCTCCTCCCAATTATCCCCCAATCCCCCTTGGCACGACCCCCGGCAGCTGGACAACGCCCTGTCACTCGTGCGCGAGATGCGGCAGCAGGGCATCCACCCCGACAGGCAGACGTACACGGCCGCCATCCAGGCCACCGAAAAGGCGACTCCCAGGGGGGAGGAGGAAGAGGAGGAGGAGGAGGAGGAGGAGGAGGAGGAGGAGGAGGAGGACGAGGAGGAGGAAGAGGAGGAGGAGGAGGACGAGGAGGAGGAGGAGAAGGAGGAGGAGGACGAGGAGGAGGAGGAGAAGGAGGAGGAGGAGGAGGGGGAGGAGGAGAGCGCGC